ACTATAGGCAAAGAAAATAGAGTGTAAATTATAGAAATATTTGGATATAAAGGAAATGTTGAGGAAAACAAAAATTTGTTCAATTCAATTAATTTATGTTTCTTATTTGTTCAAGATTTTTGTATTATTATATAAATACTAAAAATATCTAGAATCTAGATAAGGATTACCCCTATAATGTTGCTAAAATAGAACTCACTGGCAAAGATATGACTACATGTTCAGTATAGTAAGTGTGAGAATAGTAGCAGGCACTGCATAGTAAAATTTAACATCACCGTGGTCAATATATATAGGTCGTGGCAAAAGTACCAATTATGGTCTTTGCATATTAAAGTTCACATTTTTGTCTATTATTGTAAATGTAATTATTGATTTGTAACAGAAGTACCAGTTATGGTCATTGCAAATCATTTGTTACTATTTCATCTAAATACATGTTAAAAAACTGAAACATTTTCATTTTACCTTTGCATTTTTCGAAGTTAAATTAAATATAAGAAAAAATTTCAATACCATTTTCTTTCCTTGTATGTCTAGAAGCATAGGAGCTGTTGGGAGTTTATGAAAAAATAATTTTAATTTCAAAAACCACAATTCCACTTCATTTATCTCACTTATTTTTACTTTGTTGCAGGGTGATGTTGATAAAGATGGTTATCTGGATTGTGCGGAGTTTGTGGCAATTTCTGTCCACCTAAGGAAGTTGGGAAATGAGGAGCACTTGAAGAAAGCATTTGAGTTTTTCGACAAGAACCAGAGTGGGTATATAGAGCTTGAGGAGTTACGTGATGCCTTAGCTGATGAGATTGATACAAACAGTGAAGAAATTGTTAATGCTATAATGCAAGATGTAGATACTGATAAGGTGAGTTTGTTTTATTTGGGACACCAAGAAAAGGCAGATATGACATCTAATGAAAAACAAATAACCAAAATAGAGACAATGATGAATTGATAAGATTTTGTGTTGAGCTAGCTAATATATTGGATTCAATCTTTTAGTGTGGTTTGGCTGAAGTGTCTTATGGTCTAGTGTAGTTGAGTAACCCCAAGGTTCCCAACCCATGGCATAAACCTGGACCAAAATTCGGGATAAACCAAAGCTTAGTTGATTCATAAAAAAAAAATACACATGAGAAAAGGATAAAAAAAAAACATAATTGATTTCTAAAATAATCGAATCAGGAATGGACCAGGCCCGTGCCCGACCCACCCATCTTGAAGTCTATGAGAGACTTTGAACTTGAATGTGTTTATCTTTAACATAACCAAGAGCCCCTTTGCTAAGGGTTATTTGGCTGGAATGAAATGGACGGATAAACGCATGGTAACCTAACAGAGCCTAAGTTTGTTGTTTCATTATATACAGGATGGACGTATAAGCTATGAGGAGTTTGCTGCAATGATGAAGGCAGGGACAGATTGGAGGAAGGCATCAAGGCAGTATTCGCGAGAACGATACAATGATCTCAGCTTGAGATTGATGAAGGATGGATCTTTGACCGGTGAAGACAGGTAGTTTAACTGGGAAGGATAATAGAGATCTTTAACCAAAGAAGCTGTACAAGGAAAGCAGTTTGTTTTTTATTTCTTGTATTGGAAATTCATGATGATTCATTTTTAATTGTTTTGTGTGAATCCCATTGTTGTCTACAAGAAGAAAATTGGTTTGTTGTTACCACTGTTTGTTGGCTATTGAGTAGTGTTTTTTAGAGGGTGTTTGTGTTGCTTGAAGCTAAAAAAATGGGAAAGGTCTGTAGCTCAGGTAGTAAATATATTGACACCTATAATTCCACTTTCTGCTTATAAAGTTTCTTTTAGATTGTGTAGATTTCAATTTCATGTGTGGTCCTGCGGCTGTTTTTTGGCAATTTTATCTTACGTGGCATTTAGGTCCCCATGTGAATAATGTAATGACGATTATTTATTTATTTATTTATTTATTTTTATTTTTAATTTTTAATTTTTGTCAAGCAAGTAGTCAGTCAGCAGTTCTTATACCGTGGTACCGGTGTACAATGAGCATCATACTCCCAGGGTAAAACACGGATGAACAGTACCCGCGGATGAACAATATTTTTTTTTTAGGTTTCAGTAGCAGGGTGATGTAACTTTCGTTTAAAAAAATGTAACTCACGTTTATAGGAAGTGTAACTTAAGTCAAGTTGATATGTAAGTTGATGTAAGGAGAAAGACATTGATTTCAATGTAAATAATGAAAAATTGATCCTAATTCCCAAATACTTTTTATAAGTAGTGAATTTGTTTTGAATTATTTTTAATATTAGGGCTATAAAAAATTGATTTAGTTAAAAAATAATTTGTTGATCATTAGCATGGTTTATTTAGTGGTGTAACCCGCGTACATTAAGATGTAATTCGCGTATATTAACATGTAATTCTAGATAAATTAAAATGTAAACATCTTATATACATGTACACACATACATTTAATAAAAGAAAAAAATTATATATATCATTGAGAGAGTTTATTTCATGGTGTAACTCGCGTACATTAAGATGTAATTCACTAATAATAAGATGTAACTTCATATATTACCAAATGTAACTCTCGTGTTAAATTTAAAGGGATAATAATATCTTCATAAATGCACAAAATGATCATTTTAATGCATAGCTTCGTTGTGTATACTGATTTACAGTGGTCAAGAAGCTTCAAGAAATTGAAAAGCATGATCATTCCCAAAATTAAAAACACAAAGCATGTAACTTTTCTTAGTCGGTGACTTAGTGGAAGCAAATTTAATTTACCGACATGTATTTCAATTCACTGGAAATATTCATTCCCATCTTCGAAAGTTTCTGGAACCGTATGAATTTTCGCCGTTTAACTTCTTGCAACAGAAGCGGATCGGAGGGGATAAAGGAGAATGAACGGTATAGCTATAGCGGACGACGACCCCAGGAGGATAGCTTGGCGGAGAAGAAAAGATGGTTTGGATTGTTTTTAATTAATGGAACGGCACCGTATTGGCACCGGCATACCATGCCCATGGTATGCCGGTTGTACGGTATAATTTGCCGTCAGATAGATGCAACTCTGCAAGTAGTTTCTATCCTTGCACCAATTAAAAAGCTAATTCTCGTGCTCTTGGTAGCGAGACTTTAATAGTAGCGCAAGTTTTTATTTATTTATATTTTCTGGATAGTTGCATTATCTGGTTCTGTTTTTTGCCTCCTAATATGTGTGATTAAAAATAAAAGTATAGTTGAATAATTGCAACAGTACACTTTTTTACCAGAATAATTTTTTGTTTTGGTATAAACAAAAGGGAAAATAAGATACTATATCATTTTGGCAGGGAATACGTCACAAGCAATTATGGAAGACTTGTTTTTATTGTAAAACTCGCTTACTATTTTACAATGTTAATGGTTTGAATTAAGTTTAATCATTTAATGTATAGGCTTTGTTTGCAACCACTTAAGAAAAGTGATTTTGACTTTTTTTTTTAGAAAAAAACACTTATTTTATCGAACACTACCAACTTTTACTTTATCGGCTTCCGTGTAGAATCTACTTTTTACTTTTTCTATTACATAAAAACACTTATTTTACTAAACATTACCAACTTTTACTACTAATCACTTTTTATTAAAAAGTGCTTTTATTTAACCACATATGGTTGCAATTACTTGCAAAGCCATAGTATCATATCATAGTATCATATCAGAATTCAGATGTACTAGTATTTAGGGTTGGTTTGCAACTGCTTTTAAAAAAGCACTTCTCAGCTTTTGGCTTTAAAAAAGCACTTATTTTCCCAAACACTACAACTTTTATTTTTCTCGGCTTCCGCATCAAAAGTGCTTTTACTTTTTCTATTACACAAAAAGCACTTATTTTACCAAACACTACCCACTTTTACTTTTCAAAATCACTTTTTTCTCAAACACTATCAACTTTTATTTAATCACTTTTCCCCATTTCATTAAAAAAGCACTTTTTTAAAAGCAGAAGCTGTTGCAAACAGACCCTTACTACATTCATTTTTTTACCTTTTCAAAAAGAAAAACTTATACACCAATCATAATCTTATGCTAGCGGACAAATACCATTGAATTGATTGGATGTGCACACAAGTGAGGGTGGGTGCAATCTTAGATGTTTTTGAGGCAACTGGGATTCGTGCCCCACACTTTCCAAGGTATGGGTCTCCAAAATACTCCCTCTATAACTTAAAAATCTTTCCATTTTCCCTTTTCGTCCGTAACAAAAAATCTTCTCATTTCTAAATCTTCCCATCATACCCTCAAAAATTCCAAAAATAATACACTATTACAACTACTTTTTTGGATTTATCCTACATTCCATCACATTATTCTACTATCTTCCCATCATACCCTCAATAATTCATATTCTCTTTCACTATTCTTAATTTACCTACTTTTGAAATGGAAAGATTTTTAAGTTGAGGGAGTATTATCCTTTGTCCTAGACTATGCGTTATTATTAGTATGAGCATCATCACCATATCATTATTGAAAAAAAAGGATGACACCTCATCCTTGAGGGTCCCCCAACACCGACCGGACGGTACGATGAGAGAGTGTAAATTGGACTATAATCACAATCTGATAAATAGAGTGGGCCATCGCAGTTGCGGGGATTCGAACTCGGAATCTAACCCTTGTAACACTCCCTCGCTACCAGTTACCATATCATTATTGATATGCCTATCATTAGTACTACTAATAATATAATTACAATTATAATATATACGTAGTAATAATTACTATTATCACTACCAACATCACTATTACTATTTACTTTAACTATAATTAAAATAATAATAATATTACAATTGCTTACAAAATAATGTCAACTATTCATGGGACATTTCTAGAATTCTGGTGAAAGAATTTTTCAAATATGAAAAAATCAAGAACTTATTGAAATGGATTAATTAAATTACCGATGTAAAACAATATGGTAGAACACATCGATATAAAACTTTTAACAATAGAAAAACGAGAAAATAAATAAATTTCATTTCTTTTTATTTTTCCAAACACATAACTTTTCTAAAATTTTGCCTTGCACAAGACTAACTGACTAGTAAGGAGTGAACGAGACTCATGGATGGGGGAAAGATCTCAAGATAATAGTATAATACTACTCATACAAACTAAGGCTCAAATACTCTCCTCCACAATAAGGATCACCAAAAATCTTTACAAGAGCAAGATCCATCTATAAACTTGTGAAACCTAACACGGTCTCTAACAATGATTTCCCTATTATACAGCCTACTAATGATCTTTGTCACTTCATGACAATCCCTACAAACTCTCAGATTCTTTACCACCCTAATGATCTTTGGTGCTTTCGTTTTCAAAAGGCCATAACCAATAGCCAACCTCTCACTGTGTTGGCACAGTGCATTTTCTTTCTCTTCATCGCTCACGTCATGTAGTACACAAGAAACCCACGGTTCATGACCCGACCCATTTACGCGATCCGATATTTCGCTTAAGATACCATTTATCTCCTCGGATTCAGGATGAGAAGAATCACCTATTGTGAATTCGTGCACAAACCCGTCAACTTCAATGGAGCTACAACCCGGAGCATTCTTGATTTCTTTGGCTTTCATTTGTTTCCTAACTTGTCTCATTCCCTCCCAATCTGAAACAGAAGCGTATAAGCTAGACAACAAGATATAGTTCTCGGCATTGTGTGGTTCTATCTCGATGAGGCGTTTGGCGGTCATTTCGCCTCTTTCTAGCATCTTCTTCTTTTTGCAACCCACTAGTAAGCTACGGAGTATTGCTGGGTTTGGGGGGATTAGCATGGAATCCACAAAAGAATAGGCATCTTCGATTAAGTTTGATCGGCAAAAAAGATCAACCATCAAACCATAATGCTCCAAAGATGGATCAATCCCAGATTCAATCATGTTTGACCAATACTTTTTTCCCTCCGAAACCAAACCACTATGAGAGCACGCCACTAAGACTCCAACAAAAGTAACATGGTTAGGCATCACCTGAAAAAGGGAAATACAAGGTTCATTAGCCACCAAAAAATATCATGTCTACAAAATTACAAAAATGTCAATATGGGTAGGTGGGTGGTGGTGGGGGAGAATACATGAGTTATAGAGGCTGTGGAAATTATAAGAGTCTGTTTTTAAGGTGATTGACCGTATTCTTGTATGCTACCAATCCTACATGCATATTAAATATTTAAATTAATTTGTTTGTTATACTGAACTTCTGCGCTTTTTTGTTATGAAGCAACATTCAGTTCATGCAATTTTCGACGCGATTTTCATCAGGAGTCATCGGAAAACGGCTCATTTGTGCTTTAGTATAGGGGTAAGGCTACACCCGACCCACCTTACCCCACCGTAGGTGGGAGCCTTTGCGGCACTGCGGTAATGCTGCTGTTGTTGTTATATTAGACTGAACTTAAGATACTTAAACTCTTTCGATTTATTGTTTCTTATGCCGTGTGTATGGGCACAATTTTTAGGCGGTGTTTGTTTCAGTGTTTTTGTGCTTTATCTGCTACCTAGGCAGAAATTAGAACAATCTGTTTGAGAGTTAAATGTGCACAGAATTCTTAGAAGTGATTCTGGGTCCTGAAACTGGTCAATTTCAGAAGTTGTTCACTTCGTTAAATGATTAATAATGAAGTTCGTATTCTAAAACTAATAACGATTATCAGTACTTTTTAAGTTCTAGGTATCACCATCACTTCATTTTTTAGTTTTTTGTCAAGCACTCAGCCTGAGGCTGTTTTACCTACAGGAGTATCAACACAAAACACCCCTCAATAAATCCAATTCTTATAATTATGATCGGAATAATTTTTGTGCCAAACACCTATCAAATTAAAGATAATAAGCCAAATTGTTTGTTCGAATTTTTCACGTGACTCTTCTCATTTTGATTACCTTAGTGTCTTCCATTCTGGTAAAGGATTTCAATGCACCTTCTGCTTGGCCATTAATTGCCAATCCATATATCATCGAGCCCCAAGCCTTGACATCCTTAACAGGGATCGCTTCAAACACTTCAGTTGCCCTTTCAATGCATCCGCATTTTGCATACATGTTGACAAGTGCAGTACTAAGTTCAAGATCATTCTCAATCCCCTTCTTATCTATGTAAGCATGCAGCCATTCCCCCAAATCCAAAGCTCCAGACATGGCACACGCAGAGATCACACTCACGAGTGCCACCTTATCAGGCGGAATACCAGACTTCTGCATATTCCTGAATGAATCTAAAGCCTTATCAGCCATCCCCAGTCTCGAATACCCACTGATCATCGCACTCCAAGCCACCACATTTCTGTCTGGAATTTCATCAAACACCTTCTCGCTTAGCTCAATCTCCTCACACTTGGCGTAAAAATTCAGTAATGAGGTCTGGACGAAGGGACTTGATCCATACCCAGATTGTATTACATGCTTGTGAACCTGTTGGCCTTCCGTAAACGCTGCCAGGACCGAACAAGACTTGAGGACAAAGGCCATGGTGAAAGTGTTCGATCTCGGGTAACTTTTTCTGAGCAGACTCTTGAAAATGAAAATGGCCTCACGGGGTGGTGCTTGAGACTCCAAGAACCCTCTAATGAGTGAATTGTACGAGAAAATCCCTGGGTTTGGAATTCGGGATATGAGCTGTTTAGCGTAGGCAAGGCTGCCGCGTGGAGAGAGGGCAGAAAAGGTCAGGATCCTGGCAAGAAGAAAGGAGAGGGATGAGGTAGAGAGAAGTGGGGAAGTGAGGACATGGCCATGGATTTGGCGGAGAACTCTCAGATTCGGGCATGTTTGAATCACTGAAGCTAGTCGTCTTTCCCGTTCTTTTTCCAGCTTTACTTATTCCACTTTCTGCTTGCCTCTTCCGGTTTTGCAGCGAACTCGATTTGTATTTTTGGCGCAGTTAGAAAATGCGACTCCACTTACGAATTGCGTCCGTTGCTTTAGAGAGTCAATTGTTTATGGAGTTAAAAATTCTACAAAAGCTCAAGTGTATTAAAGTTTTCAATCATGAAATAGTAAGAGCATCTCCAATCTTTGGCTGTTGACATTAAAAAATTTATGACAAATGTCAATAGATGTATGGGATGTCTAGCCACATAGGATAAATGTCAAAATCCAAAAACTGAAATTCGGAAAGCCCTCCCCATCGCAGAGTGTCAAGGTTATGATGTTTTGTCCAACTGGAATTTAATTAATTCAAATTGAAACTTCCGTAACTACTCTGCCACAACTATTTCCTAAGAAAACTCTCGTCCATGTTCTTCGATCAGTAACAAATTCCTGCCGATTGCCTTTAAAGGAGGTCAGGCATATTTTAAGGAGGTCACCAAAAAGTTATGCAAGCAATTTTTCAATCAATTGCCTTTATGGCATATTTGTTCTGCCATAACAGATGGTTCTCCATGCGTGAACCTTTCTAGCCAAGCAAAAAGGTTTAAAGACGACAGGCATATTTTAATAAGGTAATGTAATTCAATTTTGTTGTATGCCAAAAAATTATATGCACAAGTTAATTGATCATACGGTTTGCAGTTAATGTAATTCATTATTTTATATTATCAAATGGAAGGAATCTATATCTATTATTTTTAATTTCTATTAAATTTGTTTGAATAATATTATAAATGTGTTCATTTATTAATTTTATTTTGATTGAGCTTGTTGATGATTTTCTCAAAATAATATATACTTTTTGTAAGCAGATTAATTTTGACAAAAATGACAACACCTAATTACGACTCGGATTCCAATAGCTCATCAACAAATCTGCAGAAATGGAAGGAATCGATAAACCTAACCAACAATTAAATCTATTGAAGAAGATAAATTTATTACCTTGGTCTCTGCAAAACTCTTCGGATGGACTCCCAGAAGCTTTACTCCATAGAGGGAAAGGTGAGGTGGGAGGGAATGAATTTTTTCGCAGTCCCTACTTGAAGGGTGAATGAATTTTTGGGCGGGCAGAATTCGTCATGAGCGGCAGAAGTTCATTTTGGCGCTGTTTTGGATTCTCCGAATTATTTTTTGCTCAGTCAGCATGTAGAAGGCGCTGTTAATTGAAGACTACGATGTCTACAATGTCAAAAAAAAATTGACATGTCAGCATAACATGGAGGTTAACATACTGCCTTGGAGACAAAGTTTTTACTTCGATGTTAAACACGGCCGACGTGGCCCATATTTTTAATGTCAACAGCCTCACATTAAAGATGCTCTAATACCTAAAATATAAGCTACGGACTATCAAATGACAAAATTATGGTCCGTTTCCGTATTGGACGCAAAAGTCACTAAAATAGGAGCTACGGTCCAAAATACCCTTGTCTAACCCTCACTCATTTTTTGTTCTTTACTTTTCGACCTCTCCTGCAACAACTCACTCGACGGTTGAGAATTAAAGTGGCAACAATGAATATTCATGGTCGCGGCTCCGATGAAGACGTAGAAACGGCGACAACGGAGACTTACCTGAGCTCGTCAGACAGAGCTGCCACCGTTAGCGTTCTCTGATTGAGCCGCCGCCACTCTTCTTCTTCTCCTTTCTTCTCGACTGTAAATCCAGCGTCACTGCTTCGGAACACCTCCTTCGTTATCGTCTTCGACAGTATGCCTCGATTGCCGCTGCTTTGTAGCACCTCCGTTGTTATCTTCTTCGATAGAGCGTCTCCATAGCTGCCGCTCAAAATAATATCCAGATCTGTAGATTTCTGTATCCGCACGACTAGAATTTTCAGATCCGGGCGGCTAGGGTTTCGGTCTGGTGGTGGGGCGATGGAGAACCAGTGAGCGGTACTTGCAGGGCCAGATGGGGGTTGTGCTGGTGTGAGTGGGGGTGTGGGTTGTGGACCGTGGTGGGGGGTTGCCGGGGTGTGCGCTGCGGTCCATGGTGGCGGTGGTCAGCGGTGACCGGAGTGACGAAGGTCATTGGACGGGTGGTGATGTCACTTTGGCCAGTAGGTTTTTCGGCGCTGTGGACGAAGTGTCACTATGAAGTTTTCACCGGAGTCACTGTAATCGGAGAGTTGGTCAGAGAGTCATTGTAGCCGCCGGACTCACTGTTGTGACCGGAGTCACTGTTGTCTCTGACAGGAGTAACCATGGAGGTGTCACTGTCACTAGTGGCAGTCACCGGCCGGCGGCGACGTTGGTGGCGGACAGCGGGTGGCGGTTGGAGGCGGGCGGCAGTTGGCGGCGGACATGATCGGAAGTTAGGTCACTTCATTCTATATGTGGTATGGAATTGTATTGTTTAGTTGGTAACTGGCCGATTGGTAATTGTGACTTGGTGATGGTCACTGTAATCACGGGTGTTGGTCATTGTGATTTGCAATAGGGTTATGTAGTCACTTTGGTCACTGTAAATATTGGCCACTTTGGTCACTGAACACTTTTGGTCACTGTATCGGGTCACTGTAGCAACTAGGTGTCCTGGGTTCATTAAGGGTGTAATGGTCTTATTAGTAAATTTTAGTCTCATTTTTGGAAATTAAAACATAAGTACTCATTTTTGTCCACCGAGAATTTTTAAGTAATATTGTAGTCTTAACCCCTTCAATCATTCTAATAAAATTATAAAGTTATGGCCTCTTGTGAATTTTTAAATGAGTAAAGGGTCAGTTTGGTCCTCGAAGTTGCAAAAAGGGGGTCAAATAAGTCCTTATATAGAAGATTCTGTCCGGACGTGCCATTTGAGGTGGCTCCCGGTGATTTTTTTTTTGATAAATTTTTTTGAGCATCTTATTCATTAAATCTAGTTTACTCATACCAAATTTAAGCTAAAAATTCAATCGGGAAGACATTCAAATGATTTCTTGAAGATAACTGTGCCGTTAGAAGCGCAGTTATCTTCAAGAAATCATTTGAATGTCTTCCCGATTGAATTTTTATCTGAAATTTGGGATGAGTGAACTAGACTTAATGAATAAGATGGTCAAAAAATTTCATCAAAAAATTCCACCGGAAGCCACCTCAAATGGCACGTCCGGACAGAATCTTCTTTATAAGGACTTGTTTGACCCCTTTTTTGCAACTTCGAGGACCAAACTAACCTTTATCCCATTTTTTAATAATGGATATATCTTTTTAAAAAAAAATAATGGATAAATATATTCATCTTTTATTATTTTCTCTTTCTCTTCACAAAGATGTCTCTAAAAAAATTAATTCATCTTTTATTCGTCACAAATAGATATAGATCATGTCCAAAAAATGACTCGGCCAGAGAACGGGTTTGGAAAGCAAAAGTGGGGACTCGGCCAACCGATTCGAACTCGGTGGCATGGAAATTACTATTCGGCTTTACATTACCAAAACTGTGACCCATTTTAACTTTTCCAAAAATCTGAATCCTATTTAGACTTGAGCTTCGTCTCTTCCATCCAAGGCCAACTGCCGGCGCTCCAGTGCACTCCAGTCGGCGCTCCACTGCACATTAGCCGGAGACGCTCCACTGCACTCCAGCCGGCGACGCTCTATGGCACTCCAGCCGCTGACGCCCTGCCACTCCACCGCATCCAGCCGATGACTCCCCACCGCTCCACCGCACTCCAGCTGCCGCCGCCGCCCTTCCGATCCACAACAACTCTACTCCTTATTCTTCTTCGCCGATGCTTCTCAAATATCAGACATCGTCATCAATGGCTGCGCTGCCCTGTTCCGTGAGAGACGGTTAGGTTACGATGGCCAAACGAGCGCCGGCTTGGTGACGATGGCCAGGCGAGCGACGGAATTGAACAGATCTGTGATTTTGGGCTGTCATTAAAGCTTGGATCGGAAGTTGGGGCTTAGGTTACGATGAGCTGGCGGCTGCGGTTATAGCCGGTGATGCGGTTGTCGGCTTGGATCGGAAGTTGGGGCTTAGGTGCGAGGGTGGAGTTTGGATCTGAATGGACTGGCGGGGCAGATCTGTGGGTTAGGGTGGCCAACGGGTGGCCTGTGAGACAGGAGTAGGGGCTGACGTGGCAGAGTTGGGGGTTTTGGTGGCGGAGGTCTCCGGCGGTGTGCCCGTCGGCGGTGTCCAGATTTGGGTGGAAGTCACGGAGTCAGTGACCGGAGTTGGGTGGGAGTCACTGAGTCAGTGACCGGAGTTGGGTGGAAGTCACTGGATTAGTGACCGGAGTTGGGCGGCAGTCACTGGCAAGTGTCCGCAGTTAGGTAGAAGTCACTTGTCAGTGACCGGAAGTCACTGAATTAGTGACTGGCTGCGGCTGCGGCGGTGGCGCGGCGGTGGAGCGGCAGTGGCGCGGTGCTGGGTCAGCAGCTAGGTGTAGGTGGCTATTGAACATGAACTCCTAATCAAATGCATAAAAGGAATATACTTCGTATTTTATACAATGAATAAAATGACTGTTAG